ATTACAGGCTGAGCCACCGAGCCTGGATTTTTTTTTTTTGAGTTGGAGTCTCACTCTGTCTCCCAGACTGGAGTGCAGTGACATGCTCCCAGCCATTGCAACCTTGACCTGCTGGGTCCAGTGATCCTTCCACCTCAGCCTTCTAAGTAGCCAGAACTACAGGCACGCGCTAACATGGCCGGCTAATTTTTGACTTATTGTAGAAGCAAGGTCTCGCCAAGTTACCAGGGTGGGTCTCGAACCCGCGGGCTCAGGCAATCCACTCGCCTAGGCCTCCCAAAGTACTGGAATTACAGGTTGAGTCACCGAGCCCAGCCAAGTCAGTCTTTTTACTTGCTGGACTTTTTAGTCTTTATTTATTTATTTATTTTTGAGTTGGAGTCTTACTCCGTCACCCAGACTGGAGTGCAGTGGCAGCTCCCAGGCACCGCAGCCTCGACCTGCTGGGCTCCAGCGATCCTTCCACCTCAGCCTTCCAAGTAGCTGGAACTACAGGTGCGTGCTACCACGCCCGGCTAATTTTTTGATTTATTGTAGAGTTGAGGTCTCGCCAAGTTGCCCAGGTGGGTCTTGAACCCGTGGGCTCAGGCAATTCACTCACCTCAGCCTCCCAAAGTGTGGGATTACAGGCTGAGCCATCGAGCCTGGCTTAGGCTTTATTTTTTAGTTCTGTTCTTTGTGGTGTGTATGTGCAGTTGCTTGGTTTTGTTTGAGCTTGGGTCTGAATTATCTGGGCATTTGTTTCTATTTTCCATTTCAATTTGCCAAGAAAACTGAGCTTGGGTTTCGTGGAATGGATAAGGGTTACACCTCTGCCTCCCTACGAGCCCCACCCTCTCTGCTTAAAACATACTCAGACCTCCTAATAGCTGAAGCCTCTGCCCTTCTACCCTTCTAAGCTGGGGTTCCATGTCTCCCCTTCCCATTGCTGCTGAAATTCTTGCAAGCCTGGCTTGCATACCTGCTGCTTCCCCTCTATCAGTCTCTCCCTAAGTTTCTGCAATTTGGCCTCTATCTTTCCCAACTTGCTGAAGTGATTATCTCATATGTCCAAGTTGTTAAATATTATTAAATATCATGGCCTTTTTGCAACCCTCATTCCTCTTGATGTCACAGAAACATCTGAAACTGCTGACCTCACCCTTGTGAAGTCCTCCTCTTGGCCTCCGAAAGGCCCTTGGTCTCCCCAACCACTGCTTTTATTGCCTTCACAGCTCTCCTTCCTGCCCCAATCCTCGAACACAAAATGTTTCCCAAAGAACTGTCCTTGTCCCACTTCTCTTTCCTCCTTCTAGCAGCTCATCCTCTGCCACAGTTTCAACAATACCTATATGAGGATGACTCGAAAACTGGTATCTGGAGTCCTGACCTCTCTTCTGACCTACTTTTGAAACAGCCTGCTAGAAACCTTCCTCTGATGTTCTGCGAGCACCTTAAACTCAGTAGATCCAAAATCAATGCCATTACCTTTCCCAACAAAAGTCACATTTCCTCCTGTTTTACGTTTGTGGAGAGTGTGAGTGTGCTTCCTTTAATGGCGCCACTGCACTCCAGTCTCCTGGGCCCAGCCTTTGGCCTATTCACCTTTTCCTTCTTCACTTTTTGTCCCAGGCAGCCCCTCAAGCAGAATAGATTCAGAGACTCACCACTCCTTAAATTCATCCACAGTGGAACTCCAGATTTTGAAATGCTTTTACCCCACCCTCCTTCACTGTTCCCTTACCCTGTCACCTGCACGACGCACACAGATGCCCCTGATCTGCTTCTTCTCTCATCCTTTTCGTGACGAATCCACCCTGACATCACTGTCCAAGTAATTTTTCCTAAGGCAGAGGTCCCCGTCATATCATTCCCTTATTTAAAAACCTCCATTGTCTTCTTGGTTTCCTTCAGGACCAGGGAAAGACTCCTTCCCTTGGCATTCAGACTTCCACGTGGAATGTCTCCAAACTACCGTTCTGTCTGGATTTCAAGACTCTTCCGCATGCTCTGGTCACTGTGGGCTGCATTGTGCCCACATGCATCCCAAGCTCCCCAGCTCCATAGCTGTACTCAGGCCACCCTGTGTTGGTGCAGACACTCCTCCCTCCTCCCCATTCACCAACCAAATGTCCTCCTTCCTTCAAGGTCAACCTGCAATGTCACCATGCCTGGACCACTCCTTAATCTTTCAGAGCACTCCATCACTCCTCTGCATCCCTATAAAACCCTGTTTCTTCTCTCTGATGTCACTTATCTAAGCATGCCTGAATCTAGTCATTTGCATATTTGGTCCAATTGCCCCCCAAAATGCACATGGTTTGAAAGGAAGGACTCTATCTTGGTTTTGGGTTGTTTTTTTTTTTTTTTGAGTTGGAGTCTCACTCTGTCGCCCAGACTGGAGTGCAGTGGCCACTCCCGGCCACCGCAGCCTCGACCTGCTGGGCTCTGGCGATCCTTCCGCCTCAGCCTTCCAAGTAGCCGGAACTACAGACGTGCACTACCACATTCGGCTAATTTTTGATTTATTGTAGAGACAAGGTCTTGCCAAGTGGCCCGGGCGGGTCTCGAACCCGTGGGCTCAGGCAATCCTCTCGCCTCGGCCTCCCAAAGTGCTGGGATTACAGGTTGAGCCACTGAGCCCAGCCAGTTTTGGGTTTTTTTTGAGACAGGGTCTCGCTCTGTTGCCGAAGCTGGAGGACAGTGGCACGGTATGATCAAGGTTCACTAAGGTTCACTGCAGCCTCGGCCTCCTGGACTCAAGTGATCCTCCTGCCTCAGCCTCCCAAGCAGCTGTGGCCACAGGCACATGCCACCACACTATCTAATTTTTTTTTTTGTAGAGACAAGGTCTCGCCAAGTTGCCCGGGCGGGTCTCGAACCCCGGGCTCAGGCAATCCTCTCGCCTCGGCCTCCCAAAGCGCTGGGATGACAGGCATGAACCACCACGCCCTGCCTGCATCTCATTTCATCCTTCCATCCCAGGCAGTGTCCTAGGAGGTACTCGCCGAAGGAGTCCAGGGGAGGGTGCTGGCGTGTCCGGTGCACTGTGTCCCCAGGCCCTGGCATAGGGAGGTGTGGACGAAACTTCCGAATACACAGAACGAACTGAACCTCGAGGTCGGGCCGCAAGGACAGGCGCCCCTGCCCCATCGTCCGCCCCCAGCCCTGCCGCGCACCCACAACCCGCGCCTCCCGGAAGCTGCCGGCCCGGCCCGCGGCCTCCTGCACCGCTTGCTCGTTCAGCTCCGCCAGGTGAAGCAGGGCGTCTTCGATCGTCTCGGTGTTGACAACGCCAAACTGGAAGTCACTGAGGGAGGCCCCTCCTGGCCTCCCAGGCCCGGCCATATTTGCAAGGCCTTTAGGGGCCCCTCGGCGGCTGGCAGGATCCATACACGGGCCCTCCTCGCTCCTCTCCACCCTGGAGGTCTTCGCCTCGCGTCTGAGGAAACCCAGTTTAGGCGACAGCCTCGAGCCCTCCGCAGCTTTTCCCGCCCCAACGGCCGCGGACGCTCAGCCAATCAGAACGCACGGCCGCTTCTCGCCTCCCCCGCCCTTCCCTGAGGAGCGCGGAGGCTCCGCCCGGAAAAGGGCACTCGGACTACAACTCCCAGCGTTCCCCACGGCAGCCAAGGCCTACTGTTCCCAGCGACCCTCGCCAGCGGGACTGCGAAGGGCGGAGCAGCAACATGGCGGCGCCGGGAGCTGGTGATCCTCTAGATGCTGACAGAGGCAAGGCCCCGTTCGCTCAGCGCATCGACCCGACTCGGGAGAAACTAAGTCCCGCGCAACTGCAGTTCATGCGGCAGGTGCAGCTAGCCCAGTGGCAGAAGACGCTGCCACAGCGGCGGACCCGGAACATCGTGACTGGCCTAGGCATCGGGGCTCTGGTGTTAGCTATTTGTATCCATCCAGGCTGTAGACTCAGGGAGACTGTATCTGCGGGCAGGGGAAGGGGAACAGGAGCGTGCAGGAGGCCTGAACCAGCCGTTTAATGTTTGATTAAGATGGGGTTCTTAATTTGTTATTTCTAGCCGGGCGCGGTGGCTCACGCCTGCGGTAGCACTTTGGGAGGCGGAGGCAAGAGGATTGCCTGAGTCCAGGGGTTCGAGACCAGCGTGGGCAACGTGGCAAGACCTCGTCTCTGCGATTAATAGAAAAATTTACCAAAAGTGGGGTCGCTCACCTGTAATCCCAGCAACTCGGTAGACTGAGGCAGGAGGATCGCCAGAGCCCAGCAGGTCGAGGCTGCGGTAGTTGGGATTGTGCCATTGCACTCTAGCCTGGGCGACAGAGTGAGACTCTGACTCAAAATAGTAATAATAATTTGTCATTTCTAAGGTGCTGTCTCTTTTTTTTTGAGTTGGAATCTCACTCTGTCACCCAGACTGGAGTGCAGTGGCCACTCCCAGCCACCGCAGCCTCGACCTGCTGGGCTTCGGCGATCCTTCCTCTCAGCCTTCCAATTAGCTGGAACTACAGGCGCGCTACCACGCCCAGCTAGTTTTCTGATTTATTGTAGAGATGGGGTCTCGCCAAGTTGCCCGGGCGGGTCTCGAACCCACGGGCTCAGGCAATCCACTCACCTCAGCCTCCCAAGGCACGGGATTACAAGCTAAGCCACTGAGCCCGACTCTCAGGTGCTCTTTTAATGTGTTGTATTAATAACGGAGTTGGGGGCTCTGGGCTCAGAAGGAGCAGGGGGTGGGAGGCTGAAATCGCTGATTTGGGAGAATGGAAGAGTAAAAAGGGTTGTAGAGCAAGTCTAGGAAAAGGGAATGTGCTATTCCAAGTGGTTTCCTGAACCCATCTCCCTAGATGGTTACACCTTCTACTCAGTGTCCCAGGAGCGTTTCCTAGACGAGCTGGAAGACGAAGCCAAAGCTGCCCGAGCCCGAGCTCTGGCGAGGGCATCAGGACCCTAAGCTGAATGGGCACTGCACATCTCCAACCTGCCAGAGTCGCTTCATGTGGTGTATGACACCCTATGACCCTGTAGAAATTGAAGCCTGCTCACAGTTTCCTTGGCCTTACTAATCTCGGACCATGATAGAGCCCAAGAAGCCAGAAATTTACACATTTGGCCACCGTCAAGGGAACATTGCCCACTTTGCATTAACTGTCCAGCGAATGAGTCCTTCTTGTAGTTTGTTTCCTTGTTTGAGGGGTGTGTGACCTTGGCTTTTCCCCAAGTTTCTGATTTTACCCCTTTTACCTCACAGGGACACAACTGTTAGGTGGTTGATGTGGCAGCTTTGTGCAGTGTTGGAGCATAAAGTGGGAAAAATAGGTCCAAGTTGAGAATAATAAACTGAGTCATCTCTCCTGGAGCCAAGTGAGTGTGTGGATGCTGAGAGAAGGCATGGCATTTCATGTGGAAAGCTCCATGAGCAGTAGCTGCAGTGGTGGCATTGCCCCAGGGAGCTGTAAATGTTTAACTAGAATTACTTTTTCCGTGAGATCTTTCCATTTGATTTAAGAGAGAGATCATTGGGCTGTTTGAGACTGAACCACATCTTAGGCAAAGGAAGGTCACTCATCTGTCCTCTACCCTAAGAACATGCTCTCACTCTCCTGCCTTTACCATCCCTAGAGAGGTAGATGAAGAAAGACAGGCAGCCCTTTCTTTTAACCTCCACTGGCCTGTGGCGGGGTCTGGAGGGGATCTTAGCTCAGTCAAGTGGATCACTGATCTTGCAGTTTCCTCATGGACTGGTGGCAGGAAGCCAGAGGGCTGGGCAGCTTCCACCTCCACCGCTGCCTCCCATTGTGAAAGGAGAGTCCCTTTTAAATCCTCCCCTCCCTAACCCCACAGGGCTTTCCCCCTTAGTTCTTAAGGCATGACAGATTTATAAAGTCCTTGTTTCCAGCATTTTTATTGTCAGCTGTGAATTCCGGTGTGAGCACACCCTCTACACTCTCCCAACTGGGAGTGAGCCTTCTAGAAGCATCGGCTTGGGTGGGATTGCTTAGTGGTTGACCCTTGGCTGAGGAAGGGGTGGAGATGAAGATGGCAGCTGCAGAACTGACACCTCCACACAGCGAACGGTTCCCACATGTTTGGCTCTTCACTATAAGGGAGCTGCATTCGCCATGTTCCCCTGGCCTTCTACCCCCTCAATGCTGGGTTCTTCCTTGCTCAGTTGTGTTGGTCAGAAAAGCATCAGATTCTGAGAGCAAAAGCGGCATGGTAGGCCCTGGTGTGGGGGAGACACATGGATTCTGTTCTGAATTCACTGGAGGGAAAAGAAAAAGTGCTGAAGAAACCTCAGAGGTGGGAGGAAGGCAAAGCGGCAGCCAGTTACCATTCCCTGGGCTCTCCTTCCCTTGGGCCCGCCCTCACCATCCTGTCAACATCCCCGGCGAATTTCACCCCCTTGCTTGCCCGCTGCTCCTGGGAGCTGGTGCTGCTGCCACTCAGGGAGTTCCTTCGCATGATGCCTGGGAGCAGGATGGGGGAGGGAGAGCACTGAGTGAGGGAGGGGGGCTAGTCCCCCCAAACCAAGGGACAGACCCCCGGGGCCTGTAAGAAAACCTAGTTGGCAAGGAAGGGGTCTCAAGAGAAAGATGGCAGCTGGGTGACTGCAGTCTCACCAGGGCCTGGGGGCTCAGAGCGCTGCAGGCTGTTGCGGCGGGAGGTGGGGAAGCTGCCCTTGGAGAGACGGCGCTGGCGGCTGGACAGCATAGCAGCCGGGGCCACAATGCCTGGCGGGGGCTGCTTCCCAAGCCGGCTGTACAAGTCCTCAATTTCCTTTTTCTGTAGTGTCTGCAGTGCCTCCACCTCTGACAAATGCCTGAGGACGCAGCAAGGGCATGAGAGGGCTGGCCACACACCCTGCTCTCCCTGGCTCTGCTTCTTTGGCCTCCCCAGACTCACTTCTGCCGAAGGCTCTGCAGCTCAGCCCAGAACTCCTCATCCTCTCCACTGCTGTCCGACTCCTCGCTGCTCGGACACAGGCTGCTGTAGGAGTAGTTCATCCACACTGGGCTAGGATGGCTCAGGAGTGGGGGGCTACCCCCAACTCGGGGCTCCTTCCCATCGTCTCCGTCCTCCTCCACTCTGGGCCCCAGGCCCTCAGCTGCACGGTCACTCTCAGCCAGAGCTTCCCTAGTCTCTGGCCCATCTCTGGCACTATCCTCAGTGTCTGAGCTCTCTGAGGTCAGCTGAGGGGTTGGAGGCTTCAGAGAACTGGAGAGACTTGGGGATGCTGGCAGCAGGGGAAGAGGCTCAGCCGGTTCTTTGGATGAAGTCACCTGGAAACGCCCAACAAGCTGGGGCTTTCCCTCTACGGACACAAGGGGCAGGGAGAGAAATCAGCGGTGGGCCATAAAGGGCACTGGGGATCATGGGCAGGGGAAGGGCAGTGACTGGAGGCCTCACCTTCAGAGATGGGTGCCAGTCTGCCTTCACCCAGGAGTGGCCAAGCAGGACTTCGGGGGGCCTACAAGGTGTGGGTCCATGAGGAGGGAAAGATCCAGCAGAACCTCCCTAGTCATCCCTCTTGGCTTCCTCCTCACCTCACTCTCCATCTCAGCTGTGTGAGGTGAAGGGCTCTCCGGGCCATAGGGCGCAAGGGGAGAGGGTGGAGGCAGGCTGGGTAGGGGACTAGGAGGGGCTGGAGGAGACTGGGAAAGGAGCCCAGGCGAGGGGGACAGCAGGGACTGGGCCACGGTCATCACAGCCAGTGAGAAGGCACTAGCCAGAGAGAGGAGAGGGGCCGCTGTGGTGGGGGGGAGGGGAGAAGTGGGGGAGCGTGGAGGAATGAAAGGGGCGCTTAGAGTGGCCTGGGAACAACTGGGGGAGAATTCAGGTGGAGAACTGGGGGGCACGGAACTCTGAGAGCACAGGATTGGAAACTCAGATGCACTGGAGGGGAAGGGAAGTGGAGAGCTGGGGGGGTGTGGTGAGGAATGTGAGAGGACCTGGGAAGAAATGGGGGAGAATGCACAGGAGCTGGGATGACAGTGGGGGGAACTGATGGGGAAGGCGGAACCTGGGAAAACGGGGGTTCCAGGGGAAAGTGGGTTTCCAGAAGACAGAGGCGTTCCAGGAGAAGATGAGGAGGTGGAGAAGACTGCCCAGCTCCTCTGCTCCAGGGAGGCATTGCTCTGGGGCTCTGCTGGGGGCAGGGCGGGTTGTTGAGACGCCATCCCCGTGCCCATTCCTTCCCAGGAGCAACCCCAGGGTGGAGGGGAGCATGGCCAGAATGCTACATACCACTAGCTGGGCCTGGGAGGGGTCCTGGGAGGTCAGGCAGGGGTGTTGGCTCCTCCTGGGGGAGAGAAAGGAGCCCACGGTCACACTGGGGAAGAGCTGAATCTCAGATGAAGGTTTCAGAGTGTGGTTCTTCAGCCAAGATCCATGAACCTTGAGGAACCCACCCGGGAGTTCCAAGGGATTCCAAAGCACATGTGCTGAAATATTTAAGGGTAAAAGGGCATGATGTCTGCAACTTACTCTCGGGTGGTTCAGAAAACATACTATGTACGCATACACACAGAGAAGGGAGAGGAAGAGAATAAAACTAACGTGGCAAAACTGGGCAAAGGGCATCTAGGGGTTCATTGTACAATTCTTGCAACTTCCCTCAACTCTGAAATTATCTCAAAATAACGAGTTAAAGTATGCATTGGGCATATTTTTCTAGAAAGAGTCCATGGCTTTCATCATATCCTCAAATGGGATAAGAGCCACTGTTTTGGGATCCCAGAGAGGAAGAATAGTTAGTCTAAGGGAACTGTTAGGGAGTCCACTCCCTCCTGGAGATGTCCAGAGGGGTTTGACCTGGGGGTTTAGAGTGTCTTCAGCAGCCTCCACAGGACCAGTATCTCTCTTCAACAGGGTCTCCACTCGCTGGATAATCTCCCGAATCCGGCTCAGAAATCCATCTTGCTCCGAGGGCAGAATGAACTCATTGTACACCTGGTGAAGGTCAACAGAATGGAGAGGGAGGGCTTGGTTAGCTCACTCATCCCCCTCTCCCTGCTCCTGATATTTAAAAAGTAACCCTTCACACTGCTGCTTCTGTCGATCACCAACCTACAACAAGTAAATACCTATCATGTTCTGGGAACTGTGTAAGAATAATACAGACTGGATGGAGAGGCGCTAACACTCAAAGGATGCATGTATATACCAGATGCTTTACATATATATCCACATAACTCCAACAGCAACTTCCCAGGATTCTTACTAACATTGCCATTGTGGAATTAGAGTAACCAATGCTCTAAGAGGTTACATTCAGTCTGCCCAAGGTCACGGGATTTAAACCCAAGTTTAGGCCAGGCGTGGTGGCTCACACCTGTAATCCCAGCACTTTGGGAGGCTATGAAAGGACTGCCAGAGCCCAGGGGTTCAAGATCATCCTGGGCAACTTGGAAGACCTCATCTCTCCAAAAATAGAATAATTAGCCAGTGTGGTGACATGTACCTGTAGTTCCAGTTACTTGGATAGCTGAGGTGGAAGGATGGCTTGAGTCCAGCAGACCGAGGCTGCAGTGGCCATGAGTGTGCCACTGCACTCTAGCTTGGGCTACAGAGTTAGACTCCAACTCAAGAAATAAATAAATAAACCCAGGCTTACCTACAGCCAGAGCCTGGGTTCTTTCCACTGTTACCTCACGTGCTTTTGGACACGATTCCTGCCCCACACGGTTTATAAAATGTACCACACAGGCCCACATACACACAAATACCATAAATGGTAAATGTCACATTCAAATCTATGAACATTTACTGAACACCTATGTGCCAGGCACTGTGGTGAGTACTGTGGGGATATAGGGAAGTGTGAAACAAGGTCCTGGTCTTAACAGCCCAGAATCTCATGGAGAAGACACATAAATAAGTAACTTATTCATGATAGCTAAGGCGCTTGTGAGTGAGGTAGAGAAATAAGTGCTATTTCAGGAGGGGCACAGGAAAAGTTGTTTAATGGGTACTGAGTTTCAGATTTGCAAGATGAAAAAGTTCTGGAGATCTGTTTCATGACAATGTGAAGATACTTAACACTACTGAACTTTACACTTAAAGATGGTAAATTTTATGTTTTTTAACCACCTTCAAAAAAAAGGGGAAAAAAATGACTCCAGGCTTGGTGTGGTGTCTCATGCAGTGGCTCCACCTCACTTTGGGAGGCCGAGGTGACAGGATTACCTAAACCCAGGGGTTCAAACAATCAGCCTGGGCAACTTGGCGAGACTGCATCTCTACAATAAATAAAAAAATTAACTGGGTGTTGTGGTGTGTGCCTGTAGTTCCAGCTACTTGGAAGGCTGAGGTGGAGGGATTGCCTGAGCCTAGCAGGTCGAGGCTGCGGCAGCCATGAGCGTGCCACTGAACTCCAGCCTGGGTGACAGAATGAGACTTCTACTCAGGGAAAAAAAAACTATTCCAAAGAAGGAACACCACCTTAGGGATGGGGAAATCTGGGAGTTTTCACAGAGTAAGTCTTTAGAGCTGAACACTGATGGATGAGAGAAAAAAACAACCTTTATTGAGGACCTACTATGTGTGGACACTTCTCATATATGACATCATATTATATTAGAACATCCTGCAAAACAAGTGTTATCATCTGCATTTTGCTGATGAGAAACTGAGGTTCACAGTGGTAAAGAAACTTGCCCAAGTTCACCAAATTGGTAACTAACAGAGCTGAATCTGAACTCAGGTATGATGGAAAGCCCACCCCTTCCTCTATTCCAGCCTGTTCATCAGGAAGAGAAGAACATTCTAGGCAGACGGAACAGCATGGTGGCTTTGAGGCACGAAAGGCACAGGTACATTCTTAAAACAGTGCAGACACGAGTATAGCTGAGTGTGCCGTGAATGTTAAAGGACATGCTTTGGAATTTGGACCTCACTCTACAACCAGAAGTGGCCACTAATGATTTTGGAGTGAAAAGCAACAGATCCAAGAGTCAGGAGAGCTCTGCTGCAGAGGAGTGGAGGGTGGACTGGTAAGGGAGAAAAGAGGGGAACATTCCCTGAGTTCTAGAGGCGGGGACACTTTGGTTCTGTGGAATCAGAGTGGGAATGAAAGCCCATTAGAGCAGGCTCTCAGGGCAAACGACCACTGAGCAGATGGAGGGAGGGGCAGGAGAGAACCCGGCGTGGCACCTTCAGAAATCAGTGTCGCTGAACGGAGGACTGAGAGGGTTGAATGGTTTGACAGAAGGTGATGAGCTTCAGGTGCCAGGTGATATCATTATCTTTGTCCTGGACACAGGAGAATGACATGACGGAGGACGTGCCTTAGAGAGAGCTCCTGATCCCTGGCATTTCTCCCATGCCCTTCCCTCCTTCACCCCCCAGACTGGCATCCACCCCCAACTCCACTGAAACTAGCCTCCCAAAAAGACAGACCTTTTCCTAACAAAAGCCAGTGTGGTCCTGCTGCAGGCTTCACACCATGCTTGAAACTCTTTCCTCGTTCAGTTTTTACTAACATCCTCCTACCTCTCTGGCTCTTGGGTACCAGTCACACACTGCTGCTCCCTTTTCTGGTTGGCCTCCCCCATGCCCCTGACAGTTCCCTGCTGATCTGGCAGGTTACTCTCCATCTCCTCCTACCTCTCTGGCTCCACCTCTGAGTCCTCCAATGACCTATTATCCTCTTTCCCAATCTAGAACTGGTGGCATCTACAGAGACACTCTCAGACCCTCTCTCTCTGACTCTGCAGGTCCATCTCGCTCCACTCTGTACTAACCACTCCCAAATCCACATCCCTCCAGCCCTGTGTGACCCATACCCCACTGCAACGGATCCTGCCTCAGTTGTTCCTTCTTCACACAAGCTTATCACAACCCTTAAACAAAAAACAACAACCTACTTTCATTTCAAATTCCCTCTCTCCTTTGGTGGCCCACTTCCCTTACTTCCTCCAAGCTGTACATCGCCATTAACATCCCCTCACCCTAACTCCCTACCGTATCAAATCAGCAAATATTTATTGAGCGTCTATTATGTGCACGGTACTACGGCCAATAGGTTACCAGATTATCGAGTAACTTATTTTCTTAAAACGACCCTCAGATTCACCCCTTCCCTTCCTCCCCACCATAATCCACTCTTGCCTGCATCCACATCTGGCTTCTTTTGTCCATCTCCCAGCTGGATTCCCTACCCCTTGCCCCCTCCCTCATCCCATGGCAGAACAGTCTTCATAACACCTGTCGTCACCATGTTACACTCTGCCAACTCTTAAGACTGTCTATGATCCAGGATCACTCCACCTTCCTGGCTTCACCTCCCACAGCTGGCCTGTATGGACCGCGGTTTCCTCATGGAGCCTTCCAACCCTATATTCCAAGTCACTCCTTATTTGGAAGGCCTTTGCTTAGGCTGTCTCTGTGGCTAGACATGCCCTTCCCACCCATCTGCTAAGACCCTGAGCAAGACCCACTGTCCCTTCTGCCCGCAGCCCATCCTTCACCCACAGCCACAGCAGCACACATCTTGCACGTACTTACATGCACCACTTGTGTGTGTACCTGGTCAATGTAGGTCTCAAATTGCTCCAGCTGGGGAGTCAAACCTCATCGGATAAACAGAAATCGCCCCAAAACCGGGGCTGAGATGTCTCCAGCATCATTGTGTTGAGTGCCAGCTGGGGCTTTAAAAACCCATGCCATTGAATCAGGAGGTTTTAGGACACCAGGAGGGAGACTCTTGTCCCAGATCCAAACACTCTGGCCACATCTCTCTCCTTCTCACCATGGCAGCTGCGATCTCTTCCGGGCTGTCCCCATCCAGGTCAAATCGGAAGGTCACCATCTTGCTGTTGTGGGTCTGTAGCTGGCACTCAACCACTCTGTCATTCTGGTCTGAGACCTTCAGATTCAAAGTCAGCAGAAGGGAGCAGATCAAGCCGTCTGTTATCATGCTGTGTCCCCACTCTACTCCAGCCAAGTGACAGTGACCAGACTGGACTTGGAGAGAAATAGACGCCACCCTAAAGTCTGATATCAGAAACCAGACAGCAGGTCAGGTGCAGTGGCTTACGTCTATAATCCCAGCACTTTGGGAGGCCAAGATGAGAGGATTGCCTAAGCCCACGGGTTCAAGACCAGTCTGGGCAACTTGGCGAGACCTCATCTCTAAAAAAAATGAAACCAGACTGGCTGCCTCTGGGGTACCAGTCACACACTGCTGCTCCCTTTTCTGGTTGGCCTCCCCATGCCCTTGACAGTTCCCTGCTGGCCCATCAGATTGCTTTCCATCTCTCGTGCCCCTTCCTTACACTTGTGACCCGCAGCCGGGATCGGGGTCTGCGCCGAAGGTTTCTCCCTAGGGGTCTCCTCATTCGTCCCATCCCTTCTCCTATGTCACTAAGGCCTGATGCTGCATCTGAGGCATAGCTGGAAAAGGAAAAGGAGACAGAAGGGGTGTCAGAGTGGACCCTGGGACCCCAGAGCTCCATATGTCCTACCCAGGTACCCCAACTTGTACCAGAACATACCTGTCCCCAGTGGAAAAGTCACCGCCAGGGCCGGAACGTGGAATGGATAGGGCAAAAGCCTGAAACAGGGTAAGGGTTCATGAGGTCATGGAGAGACAACTGCTGGAGTCTAGGGAGATGGTGTCAAGGATGCTGAGTGGACACTAGGGAGATACAATTGGGGAAGATTAAGACAACAGTGGTGGATTACCAGGGAGGTGGGGCTGGGTCACGAGGCTGGGTTTCACAAGGAGGGTGATAGGTCAAAGGCTTGGAATGGCTGGGAGCCCCCCATGTGACCCCTCTCACCGAGGGCAGGCAGAGCTGGGATTCAGCGGGGCTGGATGGCACCTCCCCGGGGGGCTGAAGGGCGGGGTCTGAGGCATCCAGGAAGCCGGAGGAGCTGAGGTAGCCATCAGTCTCGCAATCCGCTGGTTGGGGAGGGAGGGGATCAAAAAAGGGGAAATAAAGAGTGGTGGCAGAGGAGGTGGTCAGCCTGGACAAGGAGGGGCCTGGAGCTGTGGGGCCATTCTTTCCCAGAGGGAGCTTATGGCTAGACAGGAAGGCAGGGTGCCTGACGGTGCTGCTGAATTGAGCTTCTGGGGAGGAGGGGGAGGCCAAGGGTCCTGGGACCTAAGTCCCAAGGTCAGGGGGACTTACAGGTGGTGGATGAGTAGCTGGCATGGCGAAAGAGGAAGGGCTGGTGCTGGTCTGCCTCTGGCTCCTCGGGCTCCGGAGGAAAGACACTGGGAGGTCCAGATGTCAGGGGGACAGTTGCTGGTGGAGGTCCTGGCTCGGATGGGAGGGCCTCCAGCTCCCTAGCTTTGCGCAGTTTCTCACGCTTTCGCTGGATGGCGGCAACCCGTTCACGCACTGCGCGGGCCACTGGCTGGTAATCAGCTTCACAGACTAAGCCCAGAGCCACCTAGAGTTGGGAGGGTGAGGGACACAGTTTGGGACCCCCTCAAAGATGTGACCAGTCACTATAGAACATGCCTGTAATCCCAGCACTTTAGGGGACTGAGGTGGGAAGATCATTCGAGGCCACTAGCTTGAGACCAGCCTGGGCAACATAGTGAGACTCCTGTCTCTACCAAAAAAAAATGTTTCTAATGAGAAAATTGAGGAGAAAAAACCCCCCATCAGGACACCTTGGGGCCTCCAGGATACAGAAGAAAGGAACCAACACTGATTGACCCCCCCCACTGTGTTCTTTGCTAGCAACTCCTTACATTATCATCATGAAATCCTGCCAATAACCTTGTGAGTTAAGTCTTATCAGCCCCACTTTAGAGATTAAGTGAAGTGACCAGTTCATGGTGATACAGTAAATCAGTGGTTCTCAATGTGAGAAGGAGACATATGGCAATATCTGGAGACATTTTTAGTTGTCACAACCAGATGGTAGGCGGTACTGAAACTAATAAAGGTGAAGCCAAGGGTCCTTCTCAACATCTTGCCATGCACACAACAGTCCCCAAAACAAAGATGTCAATAGTGGCAAGGTCAAGAATCCCTTGTAAGTACGTAATGGACCAGGACTGATCTCAGGTCAAGCGGGGCCGTGCTATGGAGACCTGCTCTGATGCCACATGTCAAACACATTCTCAGGTTCTTGACCCACCGTGGATGATCTCACCCTTACAACTGCCATTTCTCTGACAAGAATCCCATACTCCCTCCCTTCCTTCTCCCTCAGGACTTCCTAAGCCAGCACCCAAGTTTCTGCCCCCACAGCATCGTGTGCCCCTCCCCTTCCACCAGCTTCTGCTCATCACCTTCTCATTCCTTTCACAATCTCTCTGGGGTGAGTAAAGGAGAAGGGGGGCAAGACAATCTGATTTAAAACTCGGCTGGGCTTAGTGGCTCAGTCTGTCATCCCAGCACTTTGGGAGGCCGAGGCGAACAGATTGCCTGAGCCTGCGGGTTCGAGACCCACCCGGGCAACCTGGCAAGATCTCATCTCTACAATAAATCAAAAATTAGCTGGGTGTGGTAGCGTAACCTGTAGTTCTGGCTACTCCGAAGGCTGAGGCAGAAGGATCGCCTGAGCCCAGCAGGTCGGGGCTGCGGTGGCTGGGAGCATGCCACTGCACTCCAGCCTGGGCGACAGAGTGAGACTCCAACTTAAAAAAAAAAAAAAGAATTCTAGCCACTGCAGTTTCGGTCCAGCTCTACTACTTACTCATTTGAGACTTGGACAAGCTCAACCTCTCTGAGCTTCCGTTTTACTCATCCATAAGTTGGAATGAGGCCAGTCACAGTGGCTTATGCCTGCAATCCCAGCACTTTGGGAGGCAGAGGAGAGAGGAAAGCCTGATTCCAGGGGTTCAAGACCAGCCAGGGTAACATGGTGGGACCTCGTCTCTACAATAAATCAAAAATTTAGCTGGCATGGTGGTGCATGCCTATAGTCCCAGGTACTTGGAAGGCTGCGGCGGAAGGATCACCTGAGCCCAGCAGGTCAAGGCTGTGGTAGCCGTGATCATGCCACTACCCTCCAGCCTGGGTGACAAAGTGAGACTCAGACTCAAAAAAAAAGTTGGGATGAAATGACCCTCTATGCAGGGTGGATAGCTAGCAAAGGTCAAATGTCTGTGAAAGGGCTTTAAGCCACATTACAGACGTGGACTATTAGTGAACTCCCACCATGTGCCAAGCACTGCCAGGGATAGAAAAACCAATGAAGCACAGTCCCTGCCCTCAAGGAATGTAGAGTCTAGCGAAGGAGAAAAACTGTGTCCAGGCATAAGACAAGGTCCTACGATGGGGCCCTGTGAAGTAGAAAGAAGCATTTAATGTTGACTCTGGGGGGAAGGTGTCTTGAAACCCGTGTTTCTGAGCATGTTGAAAGAAAGGAAAAGAACAAGGGAGGGGGGAGGAAAGGAGGAAAATAAATAGATACACCGACAGGAAGAGCCTTCCAAGAAAAACGGATCAGCAGGGACGCTGGAGGACCCAGGACTTGCTCTGGAAAGTAACACTGGGTGTGCGTGCGAGTGAGGAAGGGGGGAGAGGTGGGGGGGCACCGCAGGACAAGTCCAGGGGGGTGGCTGGGCTCGCTCCCCGCAACCCGGCGCCCCATCCCCGTCGCACCGGCCCCGCCCCGCAGCGACACAGTCTGTCCTCCGCTCACCATCTCCTGCGCCACCTCCTCGGCCGCGTCCCGGCCCAGCTGGAACAGGAACTCGATGGCCTGGTTGTCCCGCGGGCGCCCCCCGCGCCGCGCGTCCTCCATGCGCAGCCAGAGCTTGAGGCCCGGCTTCTCGCCGTCGTCTTCCTCCGCCAGCTCCACGTGCACGCCGCGCTCCTCACGGAAGAAGGCGTGGGACAGGAGATCCTGGATCGTGAACCTGGGGCGGCGCGGGGTGGCAGGTGGGGGGAGTGGAGGGTCAGCCGAGCGCGCCGCCCC